GTGGATTTTGTTTATCGCAGCAGGAAAGCAAGATACAGCAGGAGGACAACAGGGGTGTTATAGACAAGTAATAACTAAGTAACAACAGCAAACATAGACCAGTTTAAGGACTGATTTTGGCTAATTACACCTGTGTTTTCACAATGTACCTAGGTATTGTCGCAACTTTCCATTTCATTTGCAGTTCACAGTGGGGCCCAAAATAGTATCCCTTTCTGATTACTGAAATAGAGCAATCCAGAGCTATGCAGGAGAAATGCAGGAAGACTGAAACTGGGTTTGCTTGGGACTGTATGCAGTTATTCAAGACTCTGCTGGATCTCATTATTGCCTAAAGGAGTTCAGTTAAAGTGCGAGTCAAATTCTGCTTTACTTTTGACCAGACTGCTACAACAAGCACGTGTTCTTCTAAGAGTGCTGGCTTCTGAGTTGGAATAAAGGAAGAGCTAAAACTAGATTTATTTTTACATGACCTTAGAGAAATCAGTTACTTTGCTTCTACATATAAATATTACAGATTGTCTTAAAAAGAAATCTACCTGAAATGTCATTTTAAATTGACTAATGTTATCCTTGAGTTGTTCACAATTGTTATTCCCCACAGGTTAAAACATGCATTACTGCATAGGTTTTTTCAGCTCTGTGTATGCTTACAACTCAAAAATAAATCTGGCTGAAGTGCAAATGTTTCATTTTTCTCTTTGCAGACAGGAGAAGGCTATTTTGAGGCTTTTAAAAATGAACTTGAGGCATTCAAGACAAGAGTGAGAATCTGGTCACAATCACATGGTTTTCAAACTACGATACTACAGGATCTCAGTGTCAATCCTGGTCTTGTAGGAGAGCTGACATCTTTTTCACAGGTAGGTTTATTATTTCTATAAATTAATTTAATTAAAGTAGGATTAGGTCCTGCCTTGAAAAGCTGTACCTTTCTGAAATATAAAGAAGAGTATTTCTAGAACTGCTAGTGCTCAGGATATAACGTGCAGTATTACCAATATGCAAGGCATATATTGACTTTCTTTTTACTTGCTGAAATTCAGAAAGCATCAGCATAAGGTCAAAAGCATATGTTAGTTCAGTGCCCTTACATTTTCATGCTTAGAACAAACACTGCATCATAAAACTGATCAGATGCTAGAATTGTATTCACAGTCTTTACCACAAGCAGTGAAATGAGCTTTCAGTGTAAAATGACTAATCCTATTCATGGGATCATTCAGGTAAGTCAAGCCTAAGGGAAGTCTCCTGTTGTGATGAAAGGAAACTGAGGGTACTTAGGTCCTTTGTTACTAGTGATGGCCACATTCAGGAATGAAGAAGCAACTTAAAAGATTACAAAATATTAGGTATTAGGGAAGGAGTCACAATTGAAACCACTTATTTGAAATAATTTGATTAAAGTACTTCTCAAGTAAGATCCAACAGCTGAATTTTAAGTAAATGCACAATCAATATTGACTAGAAATATTGAGACCAAATACAAGCTATGTCGGCAAATTTAAAGAATCCTTGAACAGTGAGATAATATTGGTTGATGAGTTTTTTAGAGCTTGTTTCCTTACTATTGCAAAATTATCTCATCTTAACATGAACACAAAGAACCCAACTTAAGCTAAAATCTCTGTTTCTCTCTCCCACCCCGCCCATATATAGAGTTATGGAGAATTAAGCTGTCAATTTTTCATCTGTTGCAGAACACAGGTGATCTACAAGGTTCCACAAACACAGATGTCTGCAGTTTAAATTCTGTGATACAAAGAGATGAAGAAGAATCCAAAATGATGGATACAGTATAGTACTCTTAAGACTGAGGCCAAGTACTCTTTTTTTCTTTTTCTTTTTCTTTTTTTTTTTCCCCCCCCAAAGAAACAAACATGGCTATTTTCTTGACAATTATTTTTCTGGGTACTGCACTTTATTTTTGGTGTCAGATTTTTTTTGTTGTTGTTTGGTTTTAGGGTGGAAGCGATTTTGAAGGGTTGGTAATTCAGAAAAAACTTGTAATATTGTTTGAAAATGTGCTGCTAGGTTTTTGGTTGTCCTTGAAGAGCAGGGTTCTCATATTGCCGAATGTGAAACTGGATGTGTTTTCTGCTACTAACCTTGCCTTTCATGACTTTAGAAATTAAAGTATGAAACAAAATATCTGCACAAATACAATGTTTACAAGCGGTAGATTCTTGATAGAATCTGCTGTTGTCTTACTACAGATGTGGACATGTTTTACTCTATGAATATTGGAAATCACAACTGTATTCATGCTACCTTGCTGACATTATAAGCTTTCAAATTTGGTTATCACTAATAGCAATAAATCAGTATCTGGTATCAGTATTTCAGATCTGAATGGATTAGATTAAAACACTGGCTTTCTACCTCTACTAAGGGGATTTAAATGTTACATTGTGCTTTCATTAAACATAACTTGGTTTTGTCCTAAAACGTAAGCAATGCTTGTCTACATGAGTGCTGGGTTGTATGATTCCTGCGAGTCTAACTGCCTTCCTGTTCATAAGGCTAACATCAGGGCTTTTTTTAAACCAAGTGTCATTATGGGGAGAATGGAGGGGATGGAGGGAACTTGAGGTACGAGGGTTAAGCTAAAACTTCGGTTTAAACAAAAAGCTTTGTCGCAGTTCATATAGGGTAAGGTCTCATGCAGAGTTTGAAGGGTTTTTCATATGCTACTGAACTAAAATGGGTTACCGAGATTGCCAACTCAAACAATTAAAGTGGAACATCATTAAAAGCTTCCTGTTTGAGAGGCCAGAAATGCAAATACTGTTTCTAGGCAAGGCCTTCCCAGAACCTCTGCAATCCAAAACTCTACTGTACTTTTCTAACTTGCTGCTATTACAGCAGTTCTGTCTATAAAAACGCATACTGCAGCTGGAAGAGTCCAATGAAGACGGTTTGTATCTCAAATAATGGTATCAGTACATACTCCCAGTCCTTTACTGTATTGTTCTGATTGTATGTAAGGTCTGGAAGGTATCTAGATTTCAATGGTTTGATGAACACAGTCTACCCCCAGTTGCTAATGCAGGCAAAAGCTGTGCTGAGATCCAGTAATTTTCAGCTTTGGCTATAGCAGAGATAAGGAAAAAGTCTTAAGTCTGCAGTATATACCAGACTGAGTATTAGTACAAATGCAGTAGCAAAAGTAGGAACTCCAGATCCAGTGACAGAAGTAGCCTTGTTTCCTCTAGCAGTTCTTTTGCAGACAGACTGAGGATAAAGGAGCAAGCAGGAGCTCTGTCCCAGACACAAATTATACAGAACCAGACTCAGCAGGGAAGTACATTTTTTTCGTTGTTTGTTTGACAGATACTCCAGAGAGGATAAGTAAACACCGTCTGCTCCTGAATAAGTAGTTAATTATTAAAGGGAAACTAATAACTTCAGGTTGTTTTTTAACCGAATGTTATGTACAAGGTTAGTAAGGGCAGTGTAGGACTGTGACTTGCAACTGCTACCATTAGCAGTAGAGCCACATTGATCTAGCAACCTGTGATACACTTAAAAGTTATTTTTAAAGTTTCTAAGGGGCTAAAATTGGATGGTGTGGGAATAAGTGTCAAATCATAAGGAGATTCCCTCCCCCTTGTCCTTCTTGCTAACTGAAACTTATGTAGGCAGGCAAAAAAACAAGCATAGCTGCTTTTTATTGAAATCAAAATACATAAATAGAAGTAAGCAGCACATCAGGGTTTCTCATTTTAATGTGGTAGCTACTGTTTTCTACCATGACTTTAAGGAAGCACATCTCTGAACTCACTCAGTCTGCAGCCTCCATATAGACACTTCTGAAGATGAAAGTACAAGTGGTCAGCTTTTGGCAACCTTTCTTTAAAATGTAAGGAAAGCTGCTTACGGTGATAGCTGCTGCTCATATTGTTCATTTGTAGTAATGAGAAAGCTTTACAAATTCTACAATGACCATCTTTTTCAGACTCATATGTGTCTCAATATTGATAATGCTAAAACTAGACATGCAAATGTAGTCCAAGGTATGGCAGCACCACAGGTCTGTAGTTGTTTACAGTCATTGCATTGGTAGGACACAGCTACTTCAGACGTTGCCTAGACAGAGTTGTTTGTTCCTCTTCTTGAAACTCTCAACCTGGTGAGCATAAAAAAGGGCTGCAAGAGTTCACTGAAAAATAGCAATGTCTGCATTGCCTGGACTGTTAAAAAGTGCAGCCTGTGGAGGTTTGTAACTCCAGTTATCTAGTGAATAAATAAATAGAAGAGCTGGTCAGAGACGTGAATTAGTAGTATGAAGTCATGAAAACCAGTCCAATTGCTACAATAAAACTTGCTACAGTAATATGACAAAGTTAATTTGACCACTGAAAATCCTGGCAGTGGCATCAATTAGCAGGCTTTTTTTTTTTTTCTTAAAGACAGTAGAAAAAGACACCTTCACTAATCAGATTCATCTAGCTACAGGCTTACCACATTACGCTTAATCTGTTCAGTATCTGCTGTCTTTTTACTAATAAAGTCTTGTGCAGCTGCACAAAGACACAGGCTTTACCAAATGTGTTACCCATCACTGAAACCCCATTTTTCATGCCTGCAAGATAGCTGCTCTGAGGGAAGAAATAGAAACATGGTAATAAGGCCAATCGTTCAAGCAAATGTTAAGGGTGATTTAAGCCCAGCAAAATCAACTAAAATCTGTGCAAGCAAAGCTAAAAGAAGGTGACCGTCTTCCACAAGATCAACCTCTATGCATGCCAGTTCTGAAACGGCTTTTTGCAGAATGGTGGTCCTGGTTCCCCACAGATTCTGGCTGGCCCCAGCTAATCACACATTCAAGAAACATCCTTTCATGTCCTTATCATTGCTTCACACTGCATTTCATGAGTGAGTAGTCCATCAATGTGCTTTGTAATTAAGTTGTTTTCTGAAATGTGTTGCCTTCACCAGTGGATATTTGCAGACATTAATTTTTTCTGAATAAGAGACACAAAAGTAGCTGCTGTTGATAAATTCAGTTACTATATTATAAAATTATGTATATTTAATATAAAAAAATACAGCATTAAAGTGAGAACCACAGGCAACAAAGTTCTATCATAATGTAGGTTAAGGACAACATTAGACTTTAATTACTGATCAGTCTGGTAGACTACTTAGACAAATCCGTGATTGCTGAATGTCATATAATCAAGTGTGAGCTATGAGATGAGCAGAAGTTAGACCTATTTTCACCTGGGATTGTCAGCATCTTTCTGGCTCACATCTGGCAACTTGGTTTGGAGGAAAGCATAGATATGTGGCCAGATCTTATTGGTTTCTGTTCCAGAGAAGGATTTCAATAACCCTTTTTCCCTAAGGAAGAAAAAGAAGAAAGCATCACAGAAGTCAAATTGTTTAATTGTTCCAAGATCTCCACCTCACTTCAACATTGTCCTGGCCAGAGTGTGTGAATGTGCATATGATTTAACACCAAGAACAGCCGTAACATTGGGAATGCAGACTGGACATGCATTACTCTGTTCCTCAAACAGTGAGCTATTGGCCACATCAGTTCATAAAACTGACAGCTGTCCACTAAGTACTTAATAACAAACTATAGAGGGTAAAAACAAGAAATGCAGTCATATAGCACGCACATGCTATACAGCAGTCATCCAAACAACTGTGACTAACCCAGGAATTGTAAAGTTACCCCTCGAGGATCAAAGAAGGTGCATCAGAACAAGCAAGTGAACCAGGCACAATCAAGTTATTCTGAATTAGTTCTGGTAGCTAGTTTTAGCTGTAAAGTGTGTTATTATTATCAGTAATAGCTTACGCCTATGTCTTACTGTGGTGCTGTGAGGCATTTTCACTTCAGAAAGCTACCAAAGTCAGGAAAACCATTGTCAATCCAAAAAACTCCTTTAAAAGTTAACCACTCCAAAGATGGAGCTTCTAGTCTTCTGCTCAACAGTTTTGGTAGAGCATAATGAAGGGTGATGGATATTCAGATAGAGGAAGGACAGTCACTTCAGGATGTTGTCAAAAGGAATCCGATTTCTTTGTCTAGGCAAGGTAAGACTACAAAGCTCTACATGGTGACCTACTATTATCTGTATGTTAGCAATGTGATATTTGCAGCTTTACATTAAGAGAAACTTTGTGTATAATTCTGGCTCTTGAAAGAACTAATAATTGGTTATCATTCCACCATGCAAGTGGCAGTATTCTCAAATAGCTACTTATTCCCAAAGAGTCTTGTTAGCTGTGCCCATCACAGTCCTGCTCCTAGAACATCCACTTTTAAATCCTCATTAACAGTTTTTCTATTTATGCATCGCTTCTTGACCCCTTGCCCTTGTTAGGAGTGCTTCTACTTATACATCCAGAAGAGAAAATACTGTTAAATCTTCAAAAAAAAGGAACTGTCTCTGTTAACCTTACTAACCAGAGCTATGTTTCTCAGAACAGTGCTATAATGTATTGAATAGTGGATAGTGCTCTTTATAAAGCTAAATATGGCTGCAGTGAAAGGCTCTTTTGCTAAGTCAGGCTCTTGAAGAGGTTTCATGCAACAGTGGAAAACATACTCATTTTACTGGGTTGATTTCTTACTGACTTGATGAAAGATACACTGCTACTCACACCATGTTCACTCTTGCAATATCTCTGTAACTGAAGAGATCTGTTCCTTGCTATGCTAATGCGGAAGAAGCTTTTAGAATGTGGAAGAGTAGATTTTACTACTTACCGATAATATTCTAGAACAGGTTTTGTTTGTGCATCATAAGCCTGCAGCCTCTTGGTAACTGTCTCTGGCTTATCATCATCACGCTGAACAAGTGGCTCTCCAGTAATATCATCAATGCCCTAATCATGGTTAAAAGTAAACACCTCTTCTTATTTCTGGTTAAGTATGTTTTGTGTAATTTTCTTTTTAAATTATGATCAGTTTCCAGTTAGTCAAGGTGTAGATTTCTGCTTATAAAGAGAAAGGCTACTGCCCATATCATCTGGAATAGAAGATGCTGACTTTCCAGTAGAACAATCCATCAGTTAAAAATATTTTCTCAGTATTGGCAATGAACATCAGGTCACAGTAACCTGACTAATTTGTCCTTTGGATTGCTCATTGAATACGGGAAGTATGTAGACAAAACCTTCATATATGAGGGAAAACAATATTGTTGGTAATATGTTCCTGCACAACCGGAAACAAGCAAGAGACCAGTTGGACCTTTGTTTGACAATACTGAAGTGGGGAAAGGAGTTAATGGCCCTTTGATTTTAAGTTGCAAAATGGAAGAGTTATCATTTAGCAACAGCTGTTCAAAAAATGGCCTGAAAGCCAGCTGAAGATTTTCTAGGATTCAGTAATCAGAAGTAGGGACCTAATGTGTGAACTATGACAGCTCCTACTTTACTGCATGTTTCACCTCCAATTTACTGAAGTGCTTTAAGTGATTATAGAGCTTTTAAGCCTTGAAACCAGTAATGACTGAAGAAATTATTGACCACTGGCATATCTTATGAAGGACTAGCTAGTAGCATAAAAGTTGGCTCCTTCTTAGGTGCATTCAAGGTGCAGCTAAGGACAGAACATGACCCACCACAGATATAAGGGACTCTTTATTCCTTTGTACATATTAATTAAATCCTCAAGAATTTTGATTTTCCCTAAAGACAAGTTTAATCTGACATTTGGAGTGGAAACATGAGTGATCTTGCAAGTACAAAGCCAATTAAACCACAAAAATGTTTTCATTTCCTGCTTGCATTCTGCCAGCCAGTTTCAGAAAATCAGTAACTGTCAATGTTGAGTAAGCTTCTCTGTTCATGAAGTTGTGAAGAAAATCTGTTCCAGAACATCTGTATCATATTAGAGATGGATTTATATGGTCAAACTTACCTTGTTTACATAATACAATCATTTAAAGCACTCAAGTGTTTGTTTCTAGCATCTGTGCAGGCAGCCATACTAGTGCCTTCATTGTACCTATCAAATATTGAACCTTCAGCTTTGTATTAACTCTAAAGCCATAATCTTTTGATTCTGTTGAGTAAGTAAACATTTTGCAGGTCTATTAGATAACAGAGACAACTGTTTTTCAGCTGTTCAGCTCCATTCCATGGTTTCACTCACATATTGCAATCTATTTGACTATGTTGTGATACGCCTCCTAATTAGTGGAAGATGAAGTGGAGTGTTCCTAATGGCAAAGCTGTTGCAGCTGAAGCCCACTCTTTGGTAGCTCTGATAATTCTGTTGCAACTTACCTATGCTCTTCTGCAATTAAAAAGAACCATGACTGAAAACACAACATTTTAAACAATACAGAGGCAGTGTTTCCAGTTGCTTGGTTCCAGTGCTCACCTGCTATTTCAGCTGGCCTCTTTTCCTGCAAGACAGAAATCCAGAAACTACAAGGCCTACTGTGCTTCTGATGTAACTTAATAGAGCTTCCAGGTCAAATGTGATGCCACAAGAGGTCAGTTATTTAGAGTTAAGGATAAAATATAGCTTAAGCTGAGTTGCACTAAAGCTAACCCAAGTTCCTCAAAAATCTTAAGGTAACAATGCACAATCATTATCTTCAAGTTTACTATTCCTTTTTAGGGTATCTCAAGCCATAACCTCTTTGATCTGTTGAGAAGCTTCCCTGACTGGTAAGTTTCTACATCTAATTTTGCAATACAACAACTGTTCCCTTGAAAATGCTGGTCCTGGTTAAATATAAACACAAGGAAAGCATTCAGTGGATTCCTCTGACTGATGATTCAGTGTGCTTGCTACATAGAATGAGTCCTCTGGAGGAAGGGAAAGGAAACTACATTCTGGACTGTACAGGCTGCAAACTTGCAGAACAGGCTACGAACATGCTCAGCCTCTATGCCAGTGTGCAAGACTGAGAGTATTCCAGGTCAATGAACAGCCTTAACAAGAGCTTACAAAACACCACGGTGTTTCATTCTGCAGGGGACAAACACATTGTCCATCAGCTTGAGCGTCTACGAGGTTACTAACATACTCTCAGAGGCAGGGTATTACCAGAAAAGTTTTGTGCTCCTAAGACATTAAGTGAGCCTTTTTCTTCTGAGCTACTATGTTTTGCAGCAACATAAACAAACTATTTTACTGCAATTACCAAAAGCAATGCAATATTTATTTAGCGCCAACACCGACATGTATGGCTTACCTGCACTTTGGGAGGACTGAATTCAAGATTGTAGACTCTGCCACTGGCAGGGTGGATCCAACGTGCTGTGAGCCGACATTTTATGGTCTCAAATGGCACATCTAGGTCAATCACAGTGTCTATTTGACATTCTTTATCCAGGGCTTCTGCCTGAGCAACCGTTCTCGGGAAACCTTTTTAAAGGAAACAACTCCATAAAAATCCAAAGGCAGAATTATAGCGAGTCATTAGAGAAAATATTTGTCGGACAGAAAAAAATCAAAGCATCATCATACTGTAAAGGTTGAAGAGAAATCAGGTTTTCCAAGTATTTTTCAGTGTGTCATGGCACTTTAAATTGTTAAATGCCTCCCAGCTTCCATTTCCTCATTTCAGTTAATCATCTTCCCAAAAGTGTAACAAATAAATGCATAAAGACCCCATACTCGTACATACCAATAAATTGAATAAAAGCCTTGTATACACATTTCAAACAATAAAAACTCCAGGCAGTTCACTCAGAGGTCTGGAACAACCTAGAAACATTTGTGACAACTCTTCACTTCCACAGTTGTGTAAGTCTGGCTTAAGGAGGTGACCATTACAAACCTATTTTATTCAGTTGCAGTATGCTAAATATACCAGAGGCAGTCCAGGATTAATTTTACAAAAAAGAGTAGCTTTAGAAAGAGTTCTGGAAAGCCTAGTATATCAAACTATCCTTGGGAATGATGACTGCAAGAATACTCAGGCTTAACAGGAATCTGTCTCTTCACTTAAAAGACACTACCTTTTGCCTCATGAACTCTATGGCTCCAGTACCATGCATTCAAAGGCACATGTTACTATTACAGAAATGTAGTGGAATGTAACTGGGGGCAGGGAAAAGACAGAACAAGAAAACCAAGGTCTCTACAAAGAATTTAAAATGAAAAATTGACCACAAGAACTTTAGCGGTCAAAGCTACTGCAGAACATGCTATTGCACCATAGATTCACTGCAATAATACCTCTACCCACAAAGCTGTTGCAGTGTCATGTTCTTCAGTGGCTTGTAATTTTCATCATACTATACAACTAAATTTCTCCATAAAGGCAAGTACTGATACGTACAAACTTAAGAAACTCTTCTTTGCCTAACATTGGTTGATGAGTCCATTGCCTGAGTAAGGAACCAGGCAAGAACTAGCATCACGACAGAGAAAAAAAAAAAAATTATGGTCTTAAGGTCACTGTGTCTTGTCTAACACATCACAAAAGGGAAGAGCTGATGAACTCAGGCCAAGCTCTTGCTTGTGCATTGTCTGATGCACCTCGTTTGCATCACAGTCATCAACTGTCCTCATCCTATTTCTCTCACATTCACATTATCTCATGCAAGTGCTTCTAAATGTTAAGAGCAGAGGAAGAGCCAGGACTTCAGCACTGCTGTTCTTTCTTACTACTGACAAGCTAGTCAGCCACCACACATTTTAGTTATGCAGCTGGAAAATGAGTTTGCTTTGGGACTTAGCAATGAGAAACTTCCTCAACAAATTAAAGTGCCTTTACAAAAGCATTTCATTGAAACTGAACCAGCGTTTGCTGCATATAGTGTCTTCTCAACACAGAAAAAAAACAATCTACAAGATATGATGAATTATGAAGAATCCAGGAACACAAAGTGCCCTAATTATACAGCACATTAAGCAGATCATACACACACACACACAGACGACTCAGACTGCTACATCTGCTATGGCTCTAGAAGCCACCAACCTATTATAAGGCAGTGGAAATGGGCATTTGGTTAAGCGAGCATAACAGCAGCTCAGCAACTCTATTTAGTTTGACCTAGCTGACCGCAGCTGTTTGTTCCAAGTTGCAGTTATTAAACTGAAGACTTTCTGCTTAACTCATTTCAACAGAACAGTATTGTTCCTACAGAGCTGATTATGCCAGCACTATCCCTAGTGTAATTCATTGAGTCTCACTACAAATGCCGATGCAGACAAAATTTCTGCTCCAAAAGTTTAAAGAAGGCAGCACGTTAACATGCAGCAGAGATTGATTTATTCTTCCGCGGTCTCCCCACCATCCTCCTGTTAAGAGTCACGCAGTGTGCCCAGCTATACTGCTACACATCCAGTTCCACAGGCTGGAACTGTGTGTACAAAGGACCTGGAAATAAAGAAAAAAAATTGGCAGCTCTTTCCTTTATTGACTAGGTTTCATTGTGCTCCTCACTGTGGGAATTAAGCCTTTCTCTTCACTAAGGAGGAACACAACTGTGACTAGAGCCACCAGAACAGATCACTGTACCAGAAGCAATAACAATAAAGCACTAACGGACAGAGAGCACTGTGGGTTTTTCACTCTTTCTTAATAAAAAGCCACACCAACAACTTCTTAGTTTTATCTACTGAGACAGGTTGTGACTACAATCCGAAAACACATACATCCAGCCTAGACAGTATGTTTCTGCTGTGCATCCAAGTGTACTCCCATGGGCTGGAGTAACAAGAGCCATTCAGTTCATGAAGACAGGGGCAAATGCACATTCTCTCTACCGTGAATGCTGAAGCAATGAGCTTACGCTGCAGAACAACTCACTCTAGGGAACAGAACTAAGGAGCAAATGAGAAAGACCTTTTAGAGCACTTATGTAGCGCTTTTGTTAGTGATTTATTACACACTGCACTGCTGCAGTACTTCCTTTCCATACTTACCTTGTTGATGCATCACATACCTACGTTTCTATTTAAATAATTCCTCAGCCCCATTCTTCAAAAGTGTTCCGTTCTCAAAGGACTTTAACAAGAAAAGGCTTTAAAAAAAGAAACTTCTCAATGCATATTTTAAAGGGGAAATAAAGCATAAGAATTACTGGAATTGCCAGGTTTGAAATTTTACTGTTGAACTAACCTTTTCAACATGAATTAAACATCCCTGTAACGCTCTGAAGGCGGGATGTACCCAAAGTATTTTGCAGCCAAAGAAAGTAGGGCAGACTAGCTGTTGAAGGTTTCACGAGAAGCTGGCAACAAATACTGTCCAGTTACTACAACTCGAGGACAGCTACTGGAGTGTAGCTAACCACAAGTGACCAAAGCACTCCAAGCTTTCCAGGGCAGTTTTTCTCTCCATATACAGTGATATACAACATGCTAACTTACCATCCAATAGCCAGTTGTACCGATCTAGACCTTTTAGCTCATTCAGCACTAGTCGTGTCATGATGTCATCTGGAATAAGCCGCCCTTGATCAATGTAGGACTTGGCAAGGATTCCAACTTCTGTGAAAGTAAAAGAAGTTGCATTACACTATCTCTGACCTCCAGCAAGCAAAAAAAAGCCCACAAGCCTGCAAAAAATTTTTTTTGATCAGGGCGGCACAGAACAGTGAAGTTGTACACAAGACAGACAGTATGCTTGCTGAAATTCAAAACCAGATTATCAGTTAGGATCTGATCATGCAAATATGCATCAGATTCATTTGATTAGTCTGTAGTTCCATAGATGGCAACAGGGCATTCAGCACACCTCGATCTCCACACTCCCCAAATAATTTTACTAGTAAGTATTTGAAATACTAGGTTCCAGAAACTAAAATCAGGAGAGGCCATTAGGTAAAAGAGTCTTCAAAAGAAGAAATTTAAAGGATGCAAGTTCATTCAGGTATCAGCCCTCAGATTTCCTGTCAAGAAAGTTATTCTCTCAGTTTAGTGGCTAGTTATTAACTTATGACTTCACTATAAAGAGAAACGCCTTTGGTATTTAAGAGAGCAGTATGCAGTGGGACATGCTTGCCAGATATGTATTTTTATGATTACTAGAGTTACAAGAGGATGTTTATAGATGTTGTAAACTATTTATGGGAGCGTGCAGACACTAGTATTTTCCCATGGAAGTGACTAACCTTTAATACCAGCCATTTTGCCCACTGCCTCACTAAAATGCCATCCATGCATCACAAGTTCAGGATTATCACACCATGCTCCTACATGACAGGCAGTAACATGCCGTAGTTCACCCAAATCATGGGTACAACCGGGAAGAAATCCATTTGCCTGAGTTGTGTCCTGGGCGCAAAGCTTCCGTGGTCTTCGTTTATAAAATAATTACCCAATTATGGAAGGCACCCAGAATAGCAACTAGATTGGTTTTATTGTGGATCTGCAGAAGCCTTTACTTGCAGCCAATTCAGATCTAGTTACAGTAAACTAAACAGAAGAGAAAATGGGAGGGACGGACATACCAACACAAGATATAACGACTTTCAGGAGAAAGCAATGAAGAATGCCAGTCCCATTATTTGATGCATATTGGAATGTACAATAATATAGAGGCCTTTCTTCAGACAAGGCAACTGAAAAGCAATAGGTGCCCTCAAGTAATGCAAACAATAGCTTTGGTGCTGACAAAAAAAAAAGTAATAAAGGGACAAGTTCCCCTTATTCGGTGTTCACATCTGTAGTCAGGCTTTGAAAAGTTTGAAGACCTTTTAGAAATAGGCACTATGCACCTTGGTCAAACTTCAAATAATCCTCACAATGTGGAAAAGAGTCAGAGTCTGGTGCCTGAGCCGTCCACCATGTCACAAACTGGAAAGAAGGTGACAGTCTGCATTGCTACAAAGCGTCTATTCTTTTCCCTACCTCCCTTCTTTGAGGTCAGCAAGTTATACCTCTTTTATTATTCTAGTGCACTTTGAACTATGTACCCTGCAAAAGTAGGCTAGGAGGAGGAATAATCTAGACAGTTTAATGTGTACTTGATGCTTGATCTGTTACCGATTCATGCTGCAGCACTGCTCTAGGCACAATGCAAGGCAAGGTTGATAGAGATACTAAGATACTTTGGAAAGAAAGACAGACGAGCTTTGGGGCCTAGAGAAGTTTAGAATGCAGCAAGCCGTACTGTGCTATTATTAGACTAACAGAGCTGGAAACATGCTGCCTCTATCTACAAACCTCAGGTTGTTTGGAAAGTCACTATTACAGAAGAAAAAAAATAGGCACAACTGTACCCAAATTGTTATATATTAGGACAAAAAGTCTGTACACTAGATCATAGCTGCTTTTTTTTTTTTTTTGCTGTTGTTGGGACTGGAATTTTGTGAGGTTTTGTTGGTTTTATTTTGTTCCTTTTTTTTCAGGTTGGGTTTGAAGCCACTACAGGCACAGCAACCTTTGGAACTAAAGGCAACACAGGTTTCTTTCCTGTCTAGGTGATAACAGGTATCCATGTTTCATGGTTTTGCAAAAGACTGGCATGTCCTAACCACACTACAGTGCAAACAAGCTCCAGGCATTTTCAGACAAAAGGTTGCTTAGCACTAGAGAGGTGCTCACAGACTCTCCAGTCTCCAGAGCAGCAGAACATGGTAGTAACTGCAAATTGCTAAGGATGCTCACATGTTCTACAGGACTTTTCAACAGACAAAGCCCATTTTCAGAAGACAGCAAATGTCAAAAATAGTACCATATAACTATTGTTAATTATATTTAATTTTCCAAGTGTTTTAACTGCCCAACTTAGCCTAACACAGTTCCCAAAGAACTGGGAATTGCAGGACTCTTCTTCTATTATAATCAAAACTCACACTCTTTGCCTCGAGTAAACTTGTGAAAGCTCTCTGAGTTGCCTCTCAGTTCCTCTCTCTCCTACTACTTACTCCTGCTACCTCAATATTCATCTCAAGCTTTTGGAGACCATTTCTGCAACAAGTGAATCTTTTCAGTAAAATTAAAACACAGCTTCAACTGGGTTAATTAGTGAATGAAAAACTCTGTAGCAGATTCCTGTAAGTTCTATACTAGCTAATTCAGAGCAAACTTACTCATCTCTTACACCCTCCACTGGATTTTTCTCCTCAAATTCAGGGTTTTAACGTCTACTACACTCACATTTTGCATCTCGGTTCCCCTTCACATTCTTTCATCTGTGCAACCCACCTAGAACACTTTGCCGAATCGCTTTTCTTTCCACTACTTCATAGCTCCCTCCTCAAATCAAGCAATGGGGTGTTTCCACCTGCAATTTCCTCTTCTCACACACCCTTCAGCTTCATTCTGGTGCGCTTTGATCCTGCTTCCAAGACATACTGAAAGAGCACAAAGCCTAAAGTACTTTGTAATTAACATATTTCCTTCATCTTCTGGAACGCCTTCCTTTCTCACTAGGTCTTACTTACACTGAAAGTTCATAACAGCAACAATTTTGGCTTTGTGACCCTCTGTAAATAAAAACTTATGCTTGCGCAACCAAACAGACAGAAAAATGATGAATGTGACCAGATGTGCCTGCACAGGTGGTGCTCCTAGAAAATGATTAACTTGTAGGTATCAATGGCAGCAAAGTCAGTCAACTAAGTCAAAGTCACTGTTCTTACAGAGCAAAAAGTATCTGTGTGAAAAGAGATGTGGAAATCACATGACAACTGATTTCACAACACAGATAATTCTTCACCTTCAAGCATGCTTATAAGCTTCCAAGACTGCCAGTTCCCTAACCGTAATACTGCAGTGATATTTACAAGTGAATGTAGTCCTCTGTAGCTTCAAAGTGCTGGAAATAACAATACTTTCACTTCATCACAAGAAACCTGAAATGGTTCTTACAAGGTTTTTGACCCCACCGTGAAGAAAAGCAGATGTGGAAGTCAGGAGGGGACCTTTCATCATCGCAGAAATCCACTGGAGAGAGGGGTTGTGGTATCTCAACAGGGACACAGAGGTCAAGCTAGGACTATATAGTAAGTATAATTCACATTATTATCTAACACAGGCAACTCTCTATGCAAACACAGACCAAGGTAAGCAGTTTGAAAATTCTGCCCATTGTTTTTGGAGAGCACCACTACAGCTATGCCTGCCAGTTCAGGACAAGGCCTTCTAATTTTGGGATAGCTACCAATTCTAGGTGCTTCTACTTCTCGCCATCTAAAAGAGATACAAAAAAGTCTGATTGCCCAGAACTCCTCCTCTTGCCCCATCTGTTAAAAACATGAGTATTTTTCCCTTTCAAGATGTTTCAGCTGGAAGACGATCAGAAACACCTACGAAAAACGCTGGGTGCTTACAAAAAGAACCAAGACGAGGAAACAATTAGGCGTTACAAAACAAGGAAGACGAGATAAACCCCAGATATGCCCCGTTCACGCTTACAAAGAGGATGACAAGTGACAGCTTTTCGCGGATCCTCTGCTGAAGCCTCGAGGCCCACTTCGGTGGCCTCTGGCCTCGCAAAACCTGCGTGAAGACCCCCAACCTCGGGGGGGGGGGGCGTGTAGGCACACAGAAATGGGACTGCGGAGCAGCCAGGGGCTTCCCCGACGAGGAGCGGTGCGTGGGTGGGAGAAGGACCGTGTCGTCCCCGGCCCGCCGCCGGCGGAGCGGGGC